GAATTCCCAAATTACTGTCTCTAACTCTGCTAAGTCTAGTAGTTCCCTTAGGTACATGTTATAGTTCTTTAGTATTAGAAAATTAGTTTTCTGACACTCAGCATTTCAGAGCCATAGAGCGGTGCAAATATGTAATATGATCACTCTCCCAGCTGCTTGGAAGCAAGAGACATTGGAGAAGCCAACCCTTAGCCACACTGAGGCAATGTGAAATTTGATGATAGCACGGAGTCAAATCATTCCTTTTATAGATATTTACTGGGAACCTCTTTTTGTCACTACCGTTCCAAGTGTCACAGATATAAAAGTGAAGAGGAGAACTTCAGCCTTCATAGAGCTTGTACACAAATAAATAAGCACAAGCAAATATAAAAAGTTAGGAAATGATAAATGCTATGAACACAATTGACTCTCAGTAAATAGATATTGATGTGGGGATGTTCTCTTTAGGTGGTTAGCAAAGGTCTTTTGAAATAAGGAACTAAATGATATCAGAGTGAACCATCAAGCATCCGTGTGAAAATCTTTATGTGGGAAAGAGAGGTGGAAAATAATGATGGAGATTTAGCCAGGCCCAGATTATGTAAATACAGCATTTGCAAGCCTACTGACAAGAAATGTGTTTGGGTTTTTCCCTATATATGATCAAAAGCCATTTGAAGACTAAAAGCAAAGTCTATTTGTAACCTCAGTTACTGTCACATGGAGACATGGGAGAGACGATGATGCTTCCATGTTCTTTATGTTTTACTGAGAAGGTCGCCATAATCCCTTTAGTCAGGAAACATATGTCATTTTGCATTCTTGTTACAATGAAGAAGAGCCATGTCATCCTTAGGCATTTAGATTGGCAAATATCAAGCATGTATGTAAGTGCTAAGTACTAAACTTTTTCTCTAAGAGAGGGAAGAATGCCAGGCAACGGGCAGGGATGAAGGTGCTAGTAATAAAACTAGGTTCACACTAAGCCCAGGACCTAAAAAGCCAGGTTTCAGCATGATAAATTTTGCAAATAAAGAAACTTGGACCCTTCTCTAAAGCCAGGAGGTAGTAAATGTATGAAGTCAGAAAGTGTCTGCATATGGAGAGAAGCAACACCCTCATCTAGATTCCTGTCTCAAGGTGAATCTATTATTTTACCTCTGGCAGTTGATAAAACTCTTTCTCATGTTTATTACATTTTTATTGTTTCTAAAATTCTTTCATGCATATGATTTATTTGACTTTCACAACAATGTCAGAAGAAAGTTGAACCAAGTTAAGAACCTCAGTATTTCAGAGATGGGACCTGGGCTTCAAAGAAACCAAATCATCTGTCCATGGTCTTTGTACTGCTCACATTTTTTTTTTGTCTTTATACAATGTACTTTGTTGTTGTTTTGGCATTACAATTCTTATTACACATACATACCACAATTTTTCATCTCTCTGTTTGTATATAAAGTAAGTTGACACCCAATTCGTGTCTTCATAAGTGTACTTTGGATAATGATAAATGGGGTGGAATCAAACTAAAAAGTTTCTTCTCAGCTAAAGAAATAATCTGTGAGGTGAACAGAGAGCCTACATCATGGGAGCAAATTTTTACCCCTTATACATCAGATACAGCACTAATCTCTAAGGTATATAAAGAACTCACAAAACTAAGTACCAAAAGAACAAATAACCCACTCAACAAATGGGCCAAGGACCTGAACAAGGACCTGTTCTCTTCTTTTCAGAAGAGAACAAATATATGAAATCAACAAATATATGAAAAAAACTCTCATCATCTCTAGCAATCAGAGAAATGCAAATCAAAACTACTCTAAGATATCATCTCACTCCAGTCAGAATGGCAGCTATTATGAAGACAAACAAAAATAAGTGTTGGCAAGGATGTGGGGAAAAAGGTACACTCATACATTGCTGGTGGGACTGCAAATTGGTGTAGCCAATATGGAAAGCAGTATGGAGATTCCTTGGAAATCTGGGAATGGAACCACCATTTGACCCAGTTGTCCCTCTCCTCAGACTATACCCAAAGGACTTAAAAACAGCATACTACAGGGACACAGCCACATCAATGTTTATAGCAGCACAATTCACAATAGCTAAACTGTGGAGCCAAACTAGATGCCCTTCAGTGGATGAATGGATAAAAAATGTGGTATATATACACAATGGAATTTTACTCAGCAATAAAAGGGAATAAAATCATGGCATTTGCAGGTAAATAGGAGGCATTGGAGAAGATAATGCTAAATTAGTCAATCCTCCTCAAAACAAATGTGAATGTCTTCTCTGATTAGAGGAGGCTGACTCATGGTCAAGTAGGGATGGAGAGCATGGGAGGATTAGATGAATTCTAGATATGGAAGAGAGGTGGGAGGGAAAGGGAGAGGCATGGGATTAGCAAGGATGGTACTGCTTACATTTTTAAGGGGCTAAAAAGAGTTTGCAGGTCTTTCGAGCCCTGTCACAAAGCTCCATATATTAGAATATGCTATTTTTGTGGACTATGGTGATGTTGAAAATACATGAAGTAAATTATAATTTAGGGGATAAACATTGCATGATGAGTAATCCAAAAGGAGGAAACTTATTTTAGGAGTCAAAGTTTGACACTTAGAGAAATTGAGATTGATCCAGACCAGACTAGAGGTGCAGCATCTTTGTTTTAAATACCAGAAGGGAGGATTCATTAGTTGACGTCCCGAGTCTTTTTCTAGCATTCAAATTCTATATCATAAACTTACACTCTTCAACATAAATCCACTGATCCAATCAGGCTGGTAGAATTAAAACACCCCCCACCACCACCACACACACACACTCACAGATGTTGCTTAAGAGCACTCACATGACTTTTATACACTCAAGTTTTCTTTCATACACTATATACTGACAACCCTTTCCTATAGCAAATTCATACTTTTCCACATCAGTTGGCAAACAAGTATTTCAAGTGGCCAGTTGCCAGCTTAGTTTTCAAAGTATAATTATTTATATCTTTATAGCTGTTTGTATAATCATTTAAATAATTCTGCAAGCTTTAGAAGACCTAAAAAAAAAACTACATAAAGATGTTACCAGATGCTTTTAATAATTTAAACAAAAGCTGAAATCATTTAGAGGAGAAAAAACAAAAACAAAGCCAAGCCAAGCCAAGCCAAGCCTTTTGGATCCCAATAGAGTACTTACCTATGTGTTCAACTACATTCAAGGAATATGTATTCAGTATTCAGTACATAATTCTGGAAATGAATGGTTGCAGACTGTGTACAAAGAAGCAAGGTGTAGAGATGGAGGAAATTGTAAAATTATAAATGGATAAACAACAAAAACATGTCAATGATTCTAATACAAATAATATTTCTCAAGATTTAAAAAGTTATGGATAAGATGTTATGTGAAAAGAACACAGCTGGTTTCAACATTTTATTAACAAAGTTTAAAGAAAGTTGATAAGATATTAGCAAATTTGGTTTCAAAAATATTTAATTTCTTGAAAATCATCTGTACATAATATCTTCTCATATATGTAACTTTGAATATAGTGCAGAATCAGGAAATATGAAACAGAGTTATACAAATTACAGAAAAAATATTGTTTCTTTCTATTTTATTTAATCAATGTAAAGCAAAGATTCTACCCATCTGTTTACTTATAATATCCACAGCATCTATTCCTGTATGCAGAATACTTATCTTATAGGAAGAAGAACATTTGAGATATTCACATTATCAAACATTCATTAGAATGAAACAAAGTTTAATAATCAAGAGGTAAAATACAAACTGGTCATCATTCGCCCATTTATTATAATCACATGTAAATCTATTGCTTGACTTGTCCATATTCCCCTTTCAAACATAATTCAAGAACACATCAACTAGGGAATTGCTTGTAGTCTTGAATCACGTGGCAAGCAAGAACTGATGATTCCTAGAAGTTTTAGTAGAGAAGATACAGGTGAAAAGTGATTTCAGTTCTGCAGTAAACCATGCATGACCTTCACCAACTTTACCAAAAAACTTCTCAATATGCCAGTTCCTCATCTGCCAAAGGTGATTCTCCGTTTGAAAATATCAGTGGAATGGGAAAAACAACAATACAGTTCAGAGCAATGAATAAAGACCAAGTTTTCTTTGGTTACCTCTTCCTTATTCTGAAATTACCTCAAAACTCAGTCCCTCTTTCAACATTCTCAAAGCTCTCCTATCTGCTCAGATGTCTGCATCATTTTCAGTTCATCACCACTCATCTGTTTCCTGCTCCCTATTGGACAGTAATTCCTATATCCTGACTATTATGGAGCTGGCAATTGACAGGGTCTCAACAACAAAAAACCAGAGAGGCCTATGAGCATCAGGTTCAAGTTCTCTGGGCACTAAGGGATCAAAGTAGGACTCAAAGTGATACAGGCTAATTTTAATAGCCGCCAAATTCATAACACACTCTGTGCCAAGTACTCTGCTCCTCACAACACCACTAGAATTAGAAGGTGGATACTATTATTCTCATCTAAAGATATGGAAACTGAAGCTTATAGAAATGTGGCCAAAAGCTATGCAACCTTTAAGGAGTGGAGTCTGACTTTCACCTCTGGCCACAACGCATGACTTTCTCCTTTCTCTCAACTATAGAAAAGATTCTGCTCAGCGTCCAGGTAGCTGGCAGTGCCCAGAGAAAAAGTGCTCAGACTTGGGCAGGACAGGTCTGCTGGAATCTTGGAGACCCCAGCCATTCACCGGCGGTAAAGGGGTGGGGTCTCTTTAAGGGACGGGGACTTTTCTCACCCGACAAAAAGTAACTCCCGAACCGGGGAGGGGGTTCTCTCTCGGTGGCACCCACAGTGGGTGGGGGCCAGGCGGATGAATGAGGACCAACTGGCTGAGGCAGCGGGGTCTGAGGAGGGTTCAGAGAGAAGGAGGGAGATAGTCGCGGAGAGCCCGG